ATCTAGGCTAACCATCAACACCAAGTCCAAGAGAATTGAAAGTCCAAGAGTTTGAAAAAGAAAAGCTTTCTCTCTCTCTTCCCTGTAGGAGGAGAATGCTTTGCTGCAGGTACTGGTTTGGGAATGATGACAAGCAAACCCTATGACTGTCGTGTTCTCATGCTCAACTTCATAAAGTTTCAGAGAAACAGTGGGGAAAGGATTGAGACCTCCCAGAATTCAAGAAAGATTAAAAAAAATGAAAGAATAGACTATCAGTACATTGAGCACATAAACAGGAAAATTCTCACTAAGAACTGTAAGTTTAAAATTTCTGTATTTGGATTTTTATTTGGAATAAGGAAATTACAGCCCTGTCAAAGCAACAGTTTTTGCTGTGCTCTTTTTAAAGTGGGTGCACTTTAGGCAAGCACAGAAAGACCACCTGTGAGTAAACCAACACAGTCCTTTCAGACTATTATTTTACCTTTTTCCTGTTTTAAGTGTAAGCATTCATTTGACACATCAAAGTTACCTTGGCAAGGAGCTCTTTAAGGAAGATACTAATTAAAGTTGCTATTTTATCTCCATCGATTAGGTGAAAATGGCCAGCTGTGTCCTTGTAGTAATAAATAATTCTATCTGCATCACCATCAAATGAGCAGCAGCTCTCATTAGGCTTCATGTCTAGCCCTAATGCACACAGAGTTAGAAATGCAAGTTAGAGATAGGAATAAAGAAACAAAATTAGCTCTTTGCAGACACACAAAACAGATGCTCCAAACTGACACTGCATTTGCTAAGTGTATACAGTATATAAACAAATAAGGAGTTCCTGCCTCAAAACGTTTCTAGGCTTAATGCCAAGACAGAATTTGCTGGGAAGCAGTTGTCACCTGTCAGAGCAATGCCTCAGAAAAACAAACTGCCCTTTTATCAATGCAAGTCTTTCTCTTGTCAAAATGCTGACCTTGCCATTAACTTGGAGTTTGTATGCCAGAAACAGCAGCTGGCCATTCCTAGGCTCATTTGGAGATCTTTGGGAACTTGGCAGAGCCCCAAAGGACACATCCTTTATCCCCCTTCCTGGAGGGACACAGTTTAGCACACAGGTGGACAAGGAAACCAGCCCATGCTGCTGACACCTTCCATCCTTCAGAGCATTGGAAACCATACCCCAAAACTTGTCCCTGCAAGCAGCATGACAAAGAGGAAATGCCACCATACCTTGATGTTTGGCTGACAGTCTCAGTCAGGAAGCAGTTGTGGAATAGACAGCTCAATTTAGCCTCAAATAATCTAATATTCAAACTAGTCCATTCTCCCAGTTTGGGGATTTTCTTTTAAGCACTCCGCAGGAATTTGGTTGAAATAATTACCTCTGTGGTGTATGTCAAGCTGTCAGTTTGCTGGCACCAAAGTGTTAATTATGTTCTTCCTTAGGAACACGGAAAAGGATTAGGCCACAGTGTAAATACTTCTTGTTAATGTAAAGGGAGGTAAAACAAAGCTAGCCCTGGATGATAGGCTCCACCAGCTTAACATTAATGTCAGATTGTCAAACACGTCTCCAATGTGCTGAAACATGCTGTAGTCCACCAAACGATTTAGAATAATAATCTAAGATTGCATCAAAACCTGTCCTAGGATTCTCTCTTTCCATCAACACAAGCACAACCAGTCTTATAATCACTTAGTAAGAAACAAGAGAACTCAGCTCATCTGAGGCTGATACACCACTACTACACCCTGCACGTTTAGATCTAGAGAGGATGTAAAAGGATATAAGATGACTGACTTACATACCTTTAGGTGGCTTTTGATGAACCTTTACAAAATCTGCCCCACACAGGTGGTTGAGCTTCTCCTTTGTTCCATCATTATATACCTGAATTTGTACCTCCTTTGGAAAATAGGTCTCCATCTCTGCCAGCTTCAGAGCTCCTATGCCATTGGCACAGTCAATCTTCAATTGCCTCTGAGCCTCTCCAGAACTGAGAGACTTTGTACACAGAAAGAAAGGACAAAGTGAACTCACACCTGAGTGAAACCATAGGCTCCAACACCCCACCTATAGATACGCTGAATTTAAAACTTCAGACCCAAACAAAATAACAGCAGAAGATACCCACTTTGTACCTTTGCAGGAAGAAGATAATTACCAACATTTACCTTTTTTATCAGCTCTGTGAAAGCCTTGGATAACTTTTGGTAATAACCTTCCAGCGTTGGTTTCCCATACTGCCCCTGGGTGTTTTGGCAGCAGACCACGTAATGCAGCTGTGGTGTGGTCACTAGACCATAATCTAACATAAAACAAAGGCTTCAATATTAAGAAATTGAACACTAAATTAACTTCTCCTTCATAGTATATTATACAAAGCACATCTGCTATTCTACAGAAAACAGACAAAGGAAACACAAAGAAAATTAAGCTCTGTTAAAAAAATATGAACCCCTTTACCGTAAAGCAATCCAACTCTTCTAAAAGAAGACTGTTACGGACAAATGGAAATGGAACCTGGGCTACTGCTTTAGGGCTATGTAGCAGAGTCACATTTACAAAAACAACTTGATAATAAACTAGAATAGCAAAAGCTTGACATACCATGGTACTGACCACCCAGAACGGAGATGCCATCTATTACTGCCTGTGAAAGTTCCTTACTGCTTGGTCTGGAAAATAAAAAGCACAGCCTTTACAGAAAACCTTTATACGTGCATTTGGAAAGAAGGAGCATGGGGAAGATGACTATGAAAAGCAAGTTTCCTGCCAGCAGACTTTGATTCAGCAAGTCTGAAAGTCACTACCCTAAAGAATTGTGAAGATGAGTGAACTTCTGATGAACTTCTGTGTCATGGATGTGACACAGTGCTCACCAAAAAAAACAATGAGACACCCAGATCAGAAGCTAGGAAGCTCTCATAATTATCAGAGAAGCTCATAACGGAACACTAGAAAATGGCTGTGGATTGCTATAGCCTTAAGTGACTTCAACAGGTAGCAGACTAGGCATGGGTAACAAACCTGGCTGTAGAGAGCTAAGCACTCAGCAGCACTCATGAACAAATTGCTGCCACCTCTGCTAAAAGCAGCACACATCTAACAGTGTTTTTGAATTACCTGGTATCTCTACCAATAAAAACTGAAGCATCTTTTTGCTGGTTCACTGCTGTTTTTTGGCAGATCTCAGTTACTGTTTTCTGTAACTCTTGGTCCTCTGCATTTGCTAGCTGCGTAGCGTATTCTTCCCAGGATGGGTGCAGCATTTCACCAAGAGGATCAACCAACTTCACACCATTATCTTCCTTAGAAGAAAAGAGAACAAAACACACTCAGCTTAAGAGTGGGAAAGGTTTAACCACACTACTTCTGTCAACATGAAACATTTTTAGGAAGTGATAGATTAGCTATTTATTCCAGCCTCCAGCAAGCCCAACGAACTGAACTAAGCAGTGTATTAAGTCATTTATTTCCCCCCCACCCCACCCCACTATAATCTTGGCATGAAGTTCATCTGACATTAAAGTGACCTAAGGGAAAATGCAAATACCAGGGAATACTCCACAGCAGCAGAAGTCTAAAGTGCTTGATTTGTAACTGCTTCATTTTTTCTACTGGCAGATTTTGCTCAAAGGTTCATCTCTTCTCACAGCCATTCCTAGCCTTGCTAATCTTACAAACATCCTACATTACAGCACTGACTTTTCCACATGAGAGAAAACAACCACCCTGTGTACGTAGAAAGGTAACTCTCAACGTGCCAGAGTTCACATTTTAATGGAACACTATAAACACATCTCTTAAGTAGATGGAGGTGTCTGCAGGATGCAGCCCATGGAAACCTCTTGTTCCCGTTATTACCATGAGCTTTGATTCTGTTAGGCCACATCTGTTTTTTCCTTCAAACAAAAGGCTGCTCTTACTTCAGGATTGTGAGATGCCGTAACCATGACACCAATAGTAGCTCCTGTGGCCCTGGACCTGAGTGCTGCCAGCATGCCCATGCGGAACATGACGTGCTCAAGCTGCTGCGCCCTGCTGCGAAATCCAGCAGTGCCATACTGAAGAGTAAGTCCAGCGGGCTTGGGATGCAAAGCTGAGTATTTTTTAAGTCCTTCAACATCCATTTCTGGAGAAAGAAGTAACACAAGCGCTTGTAAGAGAAACAGAGTCATTCAAATTTGTTTCACATCTTGTACTTCATTCGAGTTTGAATCCTGTTTCAAACTGGGGCCAACACAATGCTGGAGACCTCGCTGCGGCCCTTACAGCACTTGAAGGGAGCTTATAACCTGTAGGGGTCTGGCTTTTTAAACAGTGATAAGACAAGGGAAAATGGCCTTAAACTAAAAGAGTGGAAATTTAGGCTATATGTTAGGAGGAAGTTCTTTACTCAGAGGTGGTGAGGTGCTGGCACAGCTGTGATGCCCCATCCCTGGAGGTGCCCCAGGCCAGGTTGGATGGGCCCTGGGCAGCTGAGCTGGTGGGAGGCAGCCCCGCCTATGGCAGTAGGCAGAGCTCAATGACCCTTGGGGCCCCTTCCAACCTAAGCCATTCGATGCTTCTAGAGCTCTGCTTGTACCCCATACACCTCCGTGTGGGGCTGTGGGGAGGACCACTACCAGAGCCTCTACAGTCCCCGTACAACACTACCCCAGAAGAGCTCGACTAGACCGCGAAGAGCCGAAGTGATCTGGGAGAGCAGATCTCGGATCATCACTCGTGTCCCCTCCCAACAACGCCCCGCAAAGAACTAACGCTAGTCACACGCTTCACACAGCCACACAACTCCATTCATTCACCATAAGCAGCCTGCCGCCACCGTCCTCCGAAGGAACGCAGCCCTACCCACACACCGCCCCGCCCGGCCGCCACCTCCGCGCTCTCCTTCCGGGTCCGGTAAGGCCACGCCCCCTCCGATGAGCCATCCAATGGCAGTGCGGTGGGCGGGGCAAGCGGCTGCCACGCGGCAGTGGGATCAGCCCGCGGGGTGGAGCCGTAGGGCAGAGCCGGCAGCGATGCTGCGAGGACGTCCTGCAGCTTGGTAGAGTGTTACGAGGCGGCTGAGCCCTGCCCTTCCCAATGGAAAAACCCAATGCTCCGGCACTGAGGGTGGATGGGATCAGCGCTTTAAAAGGGAATGCCGTGTTAAAACCGGTGCGGTATCTCCTCGCTGAGCTGATGCGGGCCGTTTAACCCGTGTAAATGAAAGCGTGACGCGTGTCAGGCAGCACGCTGATACGCGTGGACACGAAACGTAAGCCAAAGCAGTGCTGTCGTTTCAGGCAGCTACTCACCGGTTCCCTGCGTCTTCCCGGCTTTTCATAAGGCCCCACCTGGCTACAGAAAGCGGAGGGAAACGCGGAGCTGTTGGCCGCCTTCTCGAGCAAGGCAGATTTTCCTTTAACAGCAGCGACGCCGCTGAGGTCTGGCACGGCCTCGCAGACGTCACGCAGACTTCGGGTTCCCACCCCCGGCCGTCACGTATCAGCGCGGAGCCATGGCTGCCACTGTGCAGGAGTGCCTGGAGCTCCAGCTGCTGGAGGTGGAAATGCTCCTTTCCATGTTCCCCAAGAAAGGGGAGATTAGCCTGGACGAGGCTGCCGTGCCCGCCCTGCAGCGCTACCTGAAGGACGGCGGCGGATCCCTGCCCCCGCTGCTCGAGTATTCGGTCGCTGTCGGTGTCGGGGAGCCGGAGGTGAGAGCTGCGCCTGCCTTACTCGTGGTGCAGGTGCTAAACGTCTGCCCGAAAGGGGGGAGCAGGGGAACAATTTGCTGTTTCAAAAGCTGAGGGGTAAAACTGCGCCCTGCTCAAAGAAATTGTAGAGTCTTCCCTGTAGGTAATAAAAACCTGCCTGGATGCTCTCCTGTGCAACCTCCTGTAAGCAGGGTGTTGGAATAGGTGATCTTCAGAGGTCCCTTCCAACCTCCATGAATCTGTAATCTTGTTTTTAATCATTTCATAGCATCACAGAATCATAGAATCATAGAACGTCCTGGGTTGGAAGGGACCCCAAGGGTCATCAAGCTTCCACCTCTGCCACAGGCAGGGCCACCAACCTCCACATTTAATACTAGACCAGGCTGCCCCATCCAACCTCCTCTTAACACCTTCAGGGACGGAGCATTGAGCACTGAGGACCTTTCCTGCTCTTTGACTATAGGCAGAATTTGGTTTCCAGAGAACTGAAGTGCTACAATATCTTACAGTGCTGTAAGGCACTGTAGGAATAACCAAGGGAAATTCAACTGCCTGCAGTTTGTAGAGATCAGGCAGGGTAATCTCAAGGTTTTCGCGGCCTAACATGTACGTAATCCTTTTTATTGTCTGTAATGAAGAGAATGCTTCATCTCCTAAGGTATTTGCTTAAAATAGTAATAATAATGCCTCTATTCACAGTGTGTATAATCATAAGCATTCTTCGTGTAACTCTGTTTTCTGGGAATCCATTCAGCGCCTGGGCTGAACTCATTGTTCACATGTATGTTTGCTGAGGGGAAAGATTCTCAAAGCCACTTTGTATTTTGTCACTATGACAAAACTGAGCACACTCTCAAAACATGCAGTGGAAATAGAAATGTCCCGTAAGTAGCACCTGTGTTCCTTCTTTCAAGCCATAGCATCATTTCGGTAGATGGCAGAAGAGGGCAGCTGTGATAACAGTTGATATGTTGGGAAAGTCCCAGTGAAATACAATAGAAAGACCAGATGAAAGAGTAGGTTATGGGGACAAAAGGAAGACATAAGTAGTGATTCCAGTTTTTAGGATACCGCAATCCCAATTACATCTCGTAATCTGCCTGTGGCAGGGAAAGGAATCTAGCGTATCTCTCTTAGCTGTGGAATTCATTTTCTTTTTGTGTGTTTGTGCTTTGTTTTAAAGGTGAAAGTGGAATTGCAGGTACAGTTGCCTCATATGTATCCCCATGTGGCTCCTCAGCTTTTTGCAAGATCAAATGCACTGCACAGACAGCAACAGTTGCAGCTCAACACTCTTCTCACTTCTCACATCAGCTCTTTGGATTCAGGTGAACTGTGCGTATGTGAAGCTGTGCAGTGGCTGAAAGAGAACAGCCTGCCTTATTTAGAAAATAGTAAGGTCTCTGCTGAAAGTGTTTCAAAGGAAACAGTAGTTAAAGAAACAATTCAACGTATGTGGATCTACAGCCATCATATATACAGGCAGGAATTGAGGAAGAAGATCTTTGAGTGTGCAAAGAAATTAAACCTGACTGGCTTCTGCTTGACAGGAAAACCTGGGGTGATCTGTGTGGAGGGAACCAGAGAAAACTGTGAGGAGTTCTGGCGTGTTATCAGGTATCCCAACTGGAAGCATATTTCATGCAAACATGTGGAGACTGTAGAAGCAGAAGGAAGCATTGATAATTTGCGCCTCTTTCAAACTTTTGAAGACTTGCAGTTTCAGGCCCATGGTGATTATGGCCTGAGGAACGACTATCACATGGATCTGGGCCAGTTCCTTGAATTCCTGAAACAGCATCAAAGTGGACATATTTTTCAGATTTTATTTGGTGTTGAAGGCAAACTTGCAGACAAATAAGAAAAAAAAGATGTAAAAGAATGCTGACTTTGGACAGCAAGAGATGAAGCTGACATTAAAATTTATCCTTAAGCTATGGCTGCTGTGAAAAGAGAAACTCAGTGTTTAACACAGAAGGACAGTTCAAGCAGATATTCCTGGCTCTGTTCTGAATTGCAGTGTATTTTTTGAAAGAGGTGCTTGTTTACTTATTTTCAGAGACCTTAAAAGCAAGCATTTATCACTGAGCCACATCTCACAGAAGCGCTTGCAAGGTGATGAAAATCCCACATGGTAGTATCCTGAATTACTGGTCTGCAATCATCCATACTGTGCTGTGTTACTAAGCTGGGGTGCAGAGCTTTAGTTAACTTTTTCATTTAGTTGTGTGTCACCAAGGTGGCTGTAGAGATTAATACAATTTCCAGTATAAAAGTACATGCCACCAAAGGGAGTCAGAGATTTGCTGCATTCATTATCTTTTACTGCTGTATGAAGCATCTGCTCTCACTTAATTCAGCTGATCCAAGAAAAGCAAAGACTCTTGTGCCCAAGCACAGCACCAGGTTTTGCATTTAAAACAGAGGAGTGTGTGTGCGGGGAAGTAAACCTACATCACCTCTCATTTGGAAGCTCTGGGTAGTGTGTCTTTACAGGGATAGTGTTATTGCCCACATTTCCAATAGCAGCTTCTTCTCATCTCATTAGGGTCTGGTTACATTAATGGTAATTTTGAATGGTAACAGTTGCTCAACTTGTGCTTTTTTAATATTTGTATTGCTAGGCCTAGCATATTGAAAGGTGTTTAACATAATAAATAAGGAAATATATATGTTGTGTGTGTGTCTGTATAGATATAAAAGGATTGCCATATTTAAATGTTATTAGTAGATGAAGGCTGTGTCTGAGAAGTCTGAAATAGCTGTGCCTTAAAGAACCACCATAACACTGCCTTCTGCTTTCTCTCTAAGCACCATAATAGGAAAATTGGTACACAGCAATAAAACCACCCTTACTGTTGAGGTATGGATGACCAAATCTACAAATCGAGCTATTTGGTTAGCAGCTACTTAAAAGCTGTGTTTCAGTACACTCCCCTGATGACTACAATATTAAAAATGGGGATGCTTTGGCTGCCTATTTATAATACTCTGATATTCTCTCTTTGTGAGGGACACTGACTGCCTTTATGCCGAGCAATTGCAGCACAGTTGTCTTGTTGGGGAAAATGATAATTCACAGGACTATGGCTTTGTTAGAATATTTTAATGCTGCTGAATAATTTGTCAACAAAGGCTCTGCAGGTTCAATTCTCATCAGAAAATCCTCATTGCTGCACACAGGAGTGACCAATAAGGCTTTTATGTGGAGGAAAATATTTCTAAACTTACTGTTCTTTTTCAATAACAGCTTGACAATTTACACAAGTAACATCCTGACTTGTAATGGATTAAACAGTCATTGTGTGTATTTCTTAATTTTCCACCGTACCATTCATCTGCTGAAGTTCTCATTGACATGTATGACACATCTCTGAATTCAAGGTGCAACCACTCATTTTGATATAAAAAAATGTGTACAGCCATCATATGATGGGACACATCAAGTGCAGTAACAACCAGAAAACAACCAACACAAATACAGTTCTCAGATCAATTTTTATTTTTTCATTTATAATTAATTATGACTTCTTAATCTGAGTTTCTAATCAAATTACGATTTAGAAAACTTGTTCTGAATCTTACAAAATTATCTACTCTTCGGCTCTCTAGGCAGAAACATTCTGAATATTTTAGTGCTTTTCCACTGCTGCTGATTTGCTTATTTCTTCATGAAGTATTTACAGTTTCACTTTCATGGCTTCTTCAGGCCAGGTGTATGAGTCAGCCACAAAGCTGTTATAATCAGTGCTGTACATCTGCGAACGGATGAAGGCTTCAAGGTCCTCGGGCCGAGGGTAGGTGGTGGCACTGTTATTCCTGTAGGCTTCTTCTGCAATCTAGAAAGTTGCATTAAAATCCCAATTAGTGCTTTATGTGAATACATTTAACAGAATTTTTAAGTAGAAATTAGGTCAAAATCAAGATGACATCTTCTTAGATGCTGACAGTCATGTCAAGTTACACTGGATCTGGGCTAACATACAGCAAAAAAGATTAAGAATATGATGATGTATGCACTGATTTGTCTGATTTGTGCTGCTTTTGAATTCTTTTGAACAGGATTACATTGTGAGCAGGCTACCCTGGTTTACCACCTCCTATAAAGTACATAAGAAAAGTATGATTTATTCCAAGCCTCCATGCCCCCTGCATATGAGGGAAGTTTATTATTTGCCTCAGTTTGGTAAAACATTTTTCAAAGGTAAACGCTAAACAAGGTGCATAGGTTTAAATTCTATGTATGACGGGGGAAAGCCTGTGTATTTTGTCTCTGAGAATTCAACAAGATCGGAATCAATTGCATCCTACGTATGGCTGTGGCAAAAAATTGACATTCGGAAGGGACTGGAGCTCACTCAATGCATCAAAGCATACTGTCACATCTGAAGAACACCAGCTTGAGATATATACATCTTTTGGCTAGATGCTCCTCTGTGAAACAAAAGAAGGATTACATATTAGTTTAAAGCAGCAGTGATCTTCAGTAGGATCTGCTTCAACTGCAACTGGCAAACAGACTGAAGCTCTTACTTTAAATGAAGGGAAGACAAAGTCTTCTTCCTGCTCTCCTTAGCCATCACTTTAAAACATAAATATTTTAGGTTAGTGAGAAGCCAGTGCCCCAAGGGGAAGAGCTACAGTATGTTGGCTTCCTTTTTAGAATTCATCTGCCAGAGCTGAGTGAGATGTTTGTATTTGTCTAAGAGTTTCTCTTCAGGTCTGCATGCATAATAATCACAGCTGAATGAGGTCTGAATTTATGTTCTGCATTTGGTATTCCAAAAATTTTCAGAGTGTTTCTTCCCTGGAAAGGACAGAGGCCATCACTTAACCTTTAGTGCTGTACAAGCACTAAAGCACTGCACGAGAGTAGGTGCTTGTGGGAATAACACTTCAGCAGAGATCAGGCAGAAAGACTTGGTCAGTAACACTTTCCTTTTTCAACATGCATTCAGGTTATCTCATCAGAGACAACAGAGGAGTTTCCATCACTGTGTTTTCTGCCACATAGGCAGTTTGATGTAGCCTGAGGAATCTTGGTAATATTTTAACATTTACAGGACAGTTATCATTTGCCTAAGAAGACATGAGGGGCAAGAAGGATATTATTATTATTATTATTATTATTATTATTATTTATTTTAAATGTAGAATAAGTGAAGCTAGGGGAAGTGTTTGATGCACAAAGGCTCCTTATTATTGTTTCAAAAGGATGTTCAGTAACTGGAATGTTTTACATCAGTAAACAAAATTTCTGGAGTTCTGACTCATTCCTCCTTGTACTGGGGTCAAATTTGGGGTTACATTTATGAATTGAAATTAAATACATTTATTTTTACTCCTAGACCAAGATTGCTGTAAATCAACTTGTGAGAAGATGTGTCAGCTGATCAAATCTAATGCTCAGCATGGGAAGAAAAGAAGCCAGGAAAGACTGAAATGACTTACCCTCACAGCAATCTTCAGAGACACCTGCTGAATTGTTACTAAAGGAGGGTACAGGCGACCTTCCTGTAAATTCTCCTCTGAAACTTGCTGAGCTATTACCTAGAAATAAGGCAGACATGTTAAACTTTAAATGCAGACACAATTGTAACTTTATGAGGCACGGATCTAGTCTTACACAAATAAATGGTCATGCTTTGGCAGGTCACATGGGTACTGTGTGACCTAATTTCCCTATTAGTGATTTTAACAATCTGCCTGATCATTAGGTGTAGCCAGATAAGAGCTAGAAATTGAGGGAGTTGTGCCCTTTTCTCACTCTGATTGTATTGAAACCTGAATCATTCATGTGCCTGTAGATGGAGTAGAAGGGAAATAAATATTTATTAATATCAAATCTGATATTGGTTGGTTAATTTTTTTTTAGGTAAGAGGAAATGTTTGGCATAAAAGCATTGACAGGCTGTGCGATGAACAGAACAGGAGGCACTGAACAGGATCTTGAGTGAGGCCATGGCATACAAACTAGCAAATTGTTCACTAAGACACATGAATTCCAGCCACTGGTTTTAGTTGGGTCATAGACTTCTAAAATTATAGAAGCACTTGTTATTCTGATGGTTGTTAGGTCATCCTGTGCAGAAAATAATGCCGAAACCTTAAGTGTAAAATGCTTTGAATAAAATTACTAGCGGCTAACCAGGTTTCTTATACATCCAGCTCACGAGTCTAATCTGTATGAAATCAGAAAAGGAAATACAGTCAACCACAGAGCAAAGTAAAGTCAAGTTAAGATTATCCAGTCTTTCTGGAAGTCACTGCAGGCAGACTGATAAACAGAAGGTCTAAATTCTGGCTTGCTGGGACAACAAACCCACTGCTGCTATGTCCACTCCACCTGAATGCTGCAGCAGGTCTGTCACCTCAGCCACAGCAGATTAATAGAGAAATTATTTTGAATCTCTGTTTGATTTACTTATTATTTCCATCAGACTGATGAGGGGAAACAATCATAGAATCATAGAATCATAGAATCACAAGGTTGAAAACGACCTATAAGATCATCCAGTCCAACCATCTCCTCATCACCATTGCCACCACTAGTACTAAAGATACTACAGTACTAAACAATGACAAAGAAGTTCTGATTCACATCCAAGCATCTCCTCTACAGCCTGGATATTCTTACTTAGTCCTTCCACCAAGACTGGAAGCGTTTTGCAGTCATCTCCAGTAATGAACAGATCAGGAAAGCATGGCAAACTGGAGAAAATTTGACCATCTCCTCATTGGCCTCATGAAAAACCTATTACCATGCAGTGTGAGGGCATTCTCAACAGAGTGAAGAGACACTGCACACATTGTCTTTTTTCATGAGCTTCCTCTATTACTACCACAGATAACATTTAAGAAGCAAAGGATCTTGCTAACTAATAACTAATAACTAATAACTAATAACTAATATCTTTGGGTCTAAAGATATTCTTGTTATTGCTAACTAAAGTTTGTTTGTCACTTGGGGATCTGAAATAGAGAACAGCATTTCATGATAATCCAGCCTTGGGTTTACTGAGCCTGAGAGTCAGCTGGGATCAGTTCACTAACCTGGCTTCTATTCTGGAATCTCTTTGGTGGACTTGATGGTTTCAGTTCTTTAGCTGTCCACCTTTGTATCTTCTAGGGAGCTGATAGTCAGAAACAAATCTAAATAGCTTCTAAGCAAACTAAGCACAAAACTCATATATTAGACATGGTCTGGCTTCAAGTAGTTTAAAAACTAAAAGCTGTCTTCTCTAGCATTCACTATTACAGTTCTCAAAACAGAATCATTTTCAAATATTATGAAAATGTTAAATCATTTTAAGAAAGCAGACAAATACATATGTCTGTCTTACTTGGGCACAGAAATAATTTACCCTATTGTGGGCATTGCTTGCTCTTTGAGCAGCTGGGAGCACAAAACAGTAACAAGAAAAGGAGCCTTTTCGTACAGCACAAGTTTGTGCTTTTTAAATCTGTTACATTTCATAAGCAGCTTCAATTGCAGTTTAGTACATCACGCTTGCCCTTGGAATCTATCCTTCTGATAACATGGCCCAAACAGAAAGCAAGAGGTATGCCTCTGAGAGAAGGAATTAGCATACTTGTAACAGAGCAACAAGTAGTTCCTACATCTTGTGGTGTATGTGGGAAACAGGACCTTGTGCACACTGCTTACACATGATGAGGACTGCGCCAGAAAAGATACGTGGCAATCATCAGTTCATCCTGCTGACAGCAGCAGATAAAATGCTTGAATTAAAGGACTAACATGACAGGAACTCCAGGTTCAAAGAGATCCTGTTGGTTTTTTTTTTGCAATCTACCTGACACTCTGCTAGGTGCAGCAGGGTTTTCCATATGGAGGGAAAATTGTAATAAGTGCAGCTAGAGGTTACATACTCTAGTTCAGAAAAACAGGTAAAGGAAGATTGTTTACCTTTTAATCTGATATTGACAGATATAGCAGACACAACACCCCTCTAGGGGGAGCTATGATAACATAACATCTACTGCTTGCTTTCTGTAACAGCAACTAGGTTATCCAAAAATGGTGCACAGCCCTTTGATAAAACAAAGTATACATCTGCGTGTGTTAGGAGGAGCTTACAAAAAGAGAATTTTGCTGTTCACAGTTCAGTAAGATTCTGCAGAAAAGATGGAATCTGAAATGATCAACGGCAAGTTGCTGTCAGTGAAATGCATCACTGAAAAGAAAGGTCGGGGGCAGAGTGCTTCTGTTTTGTGACAGGGCTGATAGAAAGCAAGCCATAAAACATGAAGATGATGCTTAAAGTAGGAGAGTTAGCAAGCTTAGCCTGTACAGATGGCATGCTGTTCCTTCTGACTTTCTCCTATATAAGCAAAAGAATGACACATTCTTCATGTGGTCTCTGAAAGAACTTTAGAGACCATTAGGTCAATGGCAATGGAAAAAAAAAAAAGAATCAACAATTGGAGTTATTAAGAACGTGTGAGGCAACAAAGAAAATGCAATTATCTTCAATGTATAAATCTGGGATGCAAGATCACTTTGTGCATCTTTCTTTACCTACTTCAAGCAAGAATAGGGTAGAATCATGAATGGTATAAAGAATAACGAGGGCAATCAGAAGGTTAGCCCTGAACAAGGAAATCAGACTCCTGAAAGAAGAGAAGGGAAGACTGCAAGAGAATAAAAATAAAAAATAAAAAATAAAATTCTCATCATGCTATAGGAAACCCAAATCATCAGGCAGCAGGAAATCATGAAAGGAGTTTCTTTTTCCATGGAACTCATAATTGAATTGTGATACTAATTGCTAAAAGATGTTGGAAGATTCAAATGTTTAAAAAGTCATTGGTCTCATATGTGAGAGAAAGCCGTGCAGGGATAAAACTTCCAACTCACAAAGTCTGTAGAGCACAGATTGCTGAGAACACATTTTCAGCAGAAGGATCGCTCTATCCTTTCCTCTTATTTTATCCTCTCTTCCTCAGCTTCTGCTCTCATTCCTTTTACAGAAAGTATAGGACTCTTTGGGTCTTAAGACCAACCCAGTATGACAGCTTTTCATTGTTCATAGTTTAGTTAATTACAGTTTTTAACAGAAGAAGTGAAAGGCAACCAAGATTGGACAAATGGAATAAAACGAATAGTGGCTCCCTGACTTTTATAGGACATAAATTCTATGGTGGAAGGAGTAACTTATAAGTAACACATGTCAGGAACATTCAGTTGGTTCATAATTCTCTTTCCCTTCTGTTGTGTTAGGTATGACATAGAATAGGCAATGTCCCTTGTCATCCAGAGAAATTGACTACAGTTAAGAGCTATTACAGCTTTACAAAGTTTATCAAACCTAAATCAAAGTTACATTCTGTTTTACTTGGCATGAAGAAAAGAACACTGAAAGTAGAACCTGTTGTAGTTGCAATAAACTATTTGTGACTTTTATCAGATTTAATTGGAGGGGCAGCAAAGCACAAAGAAGCAGCAGCAGGCATGCAGCCTGGGCTGCTTGGATTTTATACTTTTTCAAGTAAGTTACCACTAAACTGAGAAGGTTCCTTTACTTAAAAAGCATCTTTTTGGCTCCATAACTTTTGCAGCATCTTGGGCCCTTCCATTTCAAATGTAGAGCACTAACAATTTTCTGAAAAACACAGGGGACTATTTTGATTTCTTTCTTTCCACTGGAAAATATCTAGAGGAAAAAAAAAAAAACAGTTAAAAATTTTACCTTTGCTTTGTACTGTAACTTCAGCTAAGGGCCTAAGCTGTCCTTAACACCTCTGATAACTCTTTGGGGCAAAGATCCTTTGATCTGCCAGGTCTGTCCTTGCTCAGTAAGCTGCCTTGAGCTCACTGAATCCACAGTAATGAAGTGCCTCTCACACAGTGAGGAAGACCAAATACGAATTCTTTCAGTTCCAGGTGTGTTGCAAATAGCTGCTCATTGAACCTGGTGCCAGTACAGATTCTCCATAAAGGAAAGAATAGTTTCACATGTCAAGCGTTACTAGGGATTTTATTAAGGGGGAAGGTACTTTGTGTAGGAAAATCTTTAGCAGAGAGGAAGAGTCAGGAGAGAACATCTATTTCAAGATAGCATTCCAGAACTTCCTCAATATTTCTGACACCATTTTATTTCCAGTTAAGTTTCTTGGTTCAAAATGAGTTTTTGGTGACTTAGCAGACTGCAACACTGCAACTTAAAACACAGTTTGGTCTACACGTGTCACCTTTCATTTGTCAACATTCTATACACAGGAGTCATTTCACCCAAACCAAAAGCAACATCTAGAATGAAAGAAGACAACTGTTTAACACAGCAGTTTAGACCAGCAAGTGAAGATCACCGTGTCCAACTGAAATTACAGAGGAGGATTTAAAGGGAGGATATAATTATCCAAAGACTTATGAGATGGATCATTGCCCTCCTAGGATGGTTAAAGCTAGTGGAGACAGTCTGGGCCTTTTACTAATTTTAAAGATGGAAATTGTGAATGTCTTTTTCATGGGGGGCAAGCTGTTGGCAAACCTTTTGAAAGATGCTGTAGTATGCACCTTCAAACAAAATATCAGAAACCCAGCAATGGCAGCATGCAAGTGTCTGCCCTTCATACCACATACCATCAGTCAAAGAGTTATGTTGCCTACTAATTGCCTTAGGGTGATAGTAAAGAGCCACTTTCTTCCCTTTAATCCATGAAGAGGACACAAGGAGCAAGGATGCTGGAATGCAATATCCTTTAGAGTTGCATCAGGCATTCTCTTTTTTGCTATCTGGTGCAACTTTTTCTTTTTTGATTGCTCCATAATTTCTAACTTCATTGCTTTTGGGCTTCTTCTGTGTAAGCCACTACTGATGTGTTCTCCAGGTTTTTGTACAGCTTTAAGGATCAGGACACTGCAATTTCATAAACTTGTATGGATGGCAAATGGATACAAACTGCAGTGGGTAAAAATCACCATTGCACAGAATCAAGATTAATCACAGTTACCTTGGTAAACTGGGGATAACCATGCTTTTTTCTGTACCATTAAACGAGAAAAGAAAGCATCAGGCTTTGAATGAGTGTGCATGGACAGAGCTGAACTTTGTGAGGCTCATTACATTGGTGCAGATGCAAAGGAGCCAGGAACATCAGGACAGTGCAAGAATGCAGGAGAATGAAGGGACAGGGATTAGGTCAGAGCAGAGTGGTAAGGATGTTACCTGCCTATAGCAGATGAGCAAAGATGTTGGATCCAGAAAAGCATAGAAATTTACAGTCTTCCTAAGCAAAAAAGCAGTTACAGAAAGATCGACTTGGGGGAGTTTTTGTTAAAAATAAAAATTAAAAAAAATATACACAAAAAAACACCTGTGTAAGAGAATTTGATTTCAACAACTCCTGGTTATTTTGTTTGATGAAAGGCCTCTAGCCAGATTCTTCTCTGATGTGTGCTGAAGAGATAATCCTGTGCATTTGCAATGTCATACTGTAAGACTGTAGATGTCAGATTTTGAATAATTTTTGGAAGAGGTCAATGAGTTCCCAAAATGAAATATGTTTGCTCTGTCTCTTACCTAGCAGATGGAGATAAAGGAGGACAGACAAAAAGCTGGATAATAATGATGAACAAAGATGATGATATGTTGCTTGAGGAAAGAGAGGAACCAGTGCAGAAAAGGATAGGAATCAAAATGGAAAGAATAACATCACCTCAAGATGAGGTGCAAATAACTAGAAAGCAATGGAGCACATTCACCAGCTGTTGACAGGAGAGGTCCAGAAATGATACTAACAACTCTATGCAATATTAACAAAAAGAAAAAAAAAAAATCAAGTAGTTTTTTGCAAGCAAAACACCCACAAAAGTCACCAAAGCTACCAACATCAGAATACAAGTCTAAAATTAAACTTGTATGCACAGGTATGTGAACTGTACATAGGCACCCATGACAGTACATTGCCAAAGGGTCTCTCGCATTTCCATTCTAACAGAACATGAAGTTTACATCAGATGTCCTTTGGGCCAAGTATCACCTTGTTAAAAAGAAATAGTATACCTTGTAAATAGAGATCTTAGCAAAAAAAAAAAAAAAAAAAAAGTCACTATTTTCTCAATTTCAAAGACAATATTTAGTTATTTCTGCATAATTTTTTATTATTACCAATTTAGTATATTAAGAAATTTAAAAAACTTTTATACGGTACCTCAGCAGTTGTGAGGAACACATCCTCAGTAATATGTTTCATTCCACATGAAATAACACCAAGAGCAACACCAGGGAACACGTAGGAATTGTTACCCTGCCCAGGATACAGAGTTTTTCCATTTGGAAGAGTGACAGGATCAAAAGGACTTCCACTGGCAAAAATGCCACGTCCCTATGTTGTAAAGAGAAAACCAAAGAAATAATGTTATTTGAGAATATATTGTTCACATATTTGGCTGAGAAATTTTCAACAGTATAGAAATTACTTGTGGATGTCTATGTGATGTCACAGAGTACATACTGCCATGTTCAGGAGTCATAGCTATCTGTACAGTTTAGAGGAGGAAGAGGTGAAGGCTGGCACCAATTACTCATTTTGTGTGTCCACACCAGAGGAAGAGCATATGGGAAGAAAGTAGATGCCTGCAGCTGTAAGAGAGGAAGGTACAGTACTGTCACAGTAACAACGGTTGATGCTACTGGACATTTTTTTCCCCAAAACAACAGCAAAGTTACCACAAAAATGGCACCAATGCCAGCAAGTGTTGCACATTTGTGTGAAAGACAGGGCAATTTCTGAGGAGCTGCGGACAGGCAGAGCAGCTCACTTCTATGCCTCTCCAGTGACCCCACAGCTCAGTGCAGGACTTAGTTACCAGTTCTGTCCCAGGAATGCCATTTCACAGTGCGCCTACAGCACAGTTTGGTGATGGGATTTCCTCTGCTAGAACTGTGTGGATTCACTTACTGTAATGCACTGAGTAGAGCTTGGACACCAGCTTAGGAGCTAGTACGTGAACACCCAATACTGATAGATCTACACCTGTTTTCTAGTAGACTTTTGTGTAGTGCCAAGTGATCCAGATTGTGCTGCTGTCCCAGACAGATCCCAGGCACCAAACACTGGTTGGAACCAGCAGGCAACACGGAAAACCTAGCCTGTTTGGGGGTACCAGGGAGCTTAGCTGTGTGGATGATACAAACTGTGCCACATCACTTATCCTCAGGATGAAAAGAGCAGCCAACTCATTTTACATGGCAGAGCATGTGGGAACCTGAGTGCTGCATGATCTGAGTACCCTCCCTGCTGTCCAGGAGGGAGGCTATGTAGGGCCTGCTCTGGCACTGCCATCAGATAGGGGCAGAAGCACATGGGGTGGCCAGACAGAGAAGCAAAGCTTATGTTGCTAATAGCTTAGCACTAGACAGCTGGAGTACTAGGCTTGGTGTCAGTTTTAGAGCACTGAGGGAAGAAGTGATATCTCAGAGGCTCTGCACCAAAGGTTCTGAGCTCCTGCCCAACTGAGGAAAGAGCACCCTAGAATTTAAGCAGTAAATTGAGGTGGGGAAGAGAAGCTGGCTTTCATTTACGCTAGCATTACTGAGGTGATAAATGTCATGTTAAAACTTCAGAGGTACTTTGTATCAGAAATATCCATGCCTATTTTAGAGAATTGAAAGTGTGCATTTTAAAATATACCGTATTTGTTCTTCAGAAGATAATTCTGTTTAGTTTGGTGTCATGCAACATTTTCCTGGCCTGTTTATTATATGTTTTGGTGAGAGATCAAACACTTCAGTGTATCCCTTTCTCTGCCTGCCAGATGCTGTTACCCATTATAGCCAGCCCTCCATGCAGTCTGCTTCCCTGCTTCTTGCACTGCACTGTAATTGTGTACGTTTCAGTGGGCAATGGCCATGCTAAATTTGTCTTTTAAACACCGAAGCTGTCATTCAAACTGCCCTGCATTCAAAAAGAAATCCAAACAGAAGCCACTATAAAATACATACAGTCAACTATTTATACATGGCAAATCCCAAACTGAATTACAGGATAATCCGTGCATTAGCACTTGCATAAGACAATATAAATTATTTTCACCTATATTTCCATAACAGAAATCCTTGTCAATTGACTCAAAGAGGAGTCAGTTACTCCAAGTGGACTAATTATTAATAAAGAAATATTTGAATGATTTTCTTTCTTTACTGACATACTTTCTTACTGCAAAGTGTATTTGTACTGCCTCAAATAAAATGCATACTGCTATTAACACAGCAGTAAACAAACGGTACTGTACAAAAACAGGCATAAGACTTCAATATCTGACAGTTACTGATCCTTCAGTTATAACAAATATTATGCTTATTTATTTTTTTTTAATGAGAGTGTAAGCTTCTAGTGACTTCAGTGAAATTGTCTTGATAAAATCTGTCACTTAATTCAATTAAATCTTAGCTACAGGTAGAAACATTACCAGTACCTGTTATTTCACCCTCTACCTTTTCCCCATTCTAATCTTGAGTTTTGCTTTAAACTACATAGATTGGTATTACTCTTTGGTTACCTCTGTATATTTGTAGCACTGCTCAGCAGTACACTCTGCTTTGCTGGTAGGATTGCTGAGAGCAAAAATAATTGGGTTTTTGTTGAAAGCAGCCATATCCTGAAGAATTTGTTTAGTAAAAGCACCACCAATTGCAGCAACTCCTAAGGAAGAAAAAGACACATACAACAAGCAGAAAAGGTAATTAATGCCAGGTAAGTAACAAATGCCACACTGAGAAGAACAGTATTTCTTTTTCTGCATACCTTCATTTCTAAAATGTAACTCAACCCTTTTCCTAACACGTGGTTAAAAAAAAAAAAAAAGCTTGTATACATGATTTTGCAATTGTGAAACTTCAGTGTTATCTCCAATGTAAGAGAGGGCCTACACATCTCTGAGACTTTTGGTGAACTTCTCACTTTATTTAGTAGAAAGATGTATCTCTGTCTGTTAAGTCTCATGACTTCTCAGAGTTTATCAGTGTTCGATTTTTTGTGTGACAAGAAGAGGATAAATGACAGCCTTTGTGTCCTACAGCTGGTCATGCTGTCATCTCCAGCCTCAACTGTTGCATAATTTCAGTTACATGTCTAAGGCTTCCCTGACAGCTACAATCTTTTAAAATACAATACTTTCCATCCTACCAGAGATTAAAGGTAATGGTTTTCTTTCCCCAAGCCTGTCCACACTTATAAATGCTTTCCACAAGGACTAGGTGCCAGTCTTGTGGTATGAAAGCATCTAATTTAAGTTGGATTCTATTGCAATGTAGACGTGTAGCTTCTGTATAGTATCTTAGATCTCAGATCCTTCACTAACCAAAAATGAGGAGAGGAGAAGGAAATCATGTTTTTGGGATGTCAAGTAAACACGTATTTCTACCTAACCTATAAGAGCTGGGAATCCAAGGGTCAAGCTTCTGATTGCCATGCTTTCCATGGGAAACAGATAAACAGTCCTTTGAATGAACTTTATTTGACCATATTCTCAGGACAACTTCTCACACAGGCTGTAGAGAAGGTGGCCTCTTACTTGCTCAGTGTCCTGACACCCGGCTCTGCTTTCCACACAGCATTCTGAGTTTCCACAGCAGGAAAAAATGCTTGGGTGGGAGAGTAGGAAAGGATCCAAATGCAGGCCAGGAGATGGGAGTCTGCAGCTTGGGTCTCTCCTGGGTCAGCACTGCAACTTCTCATCACTCGTGCCTAAAGGTTCATCCCAACACTGCCCATTCTAAAGGTCAGTTTGGTGCTGCACAAGGAGAGCATGCAAACCCAAGCCAAATTTCTTTACCTCATTTAAGATCATTGTCAAAAAGCAGATTTTACTGCATAAGAGCCGTGTGTTCAAGGCATAGTCAAAACATAGCATAATATTCACTGTGGCATTTCAGATTTTCTAGCATCTCCTAACTGATTTTACTAGGCAGATAATTGTTCAAGTTTTACATATTAAGTAACAATTCAAGAGTACTTGCTTTTCTTTCCTGAAGCTGTCACTGAAATACAACAACCAAACTGCAGATAGTTGAACAATTCTTCACTGAGATCAAAATCCTGCAACTTTTACAAAAGCAAAAGCCTTTGTAAAACCTGTGTTTTGGTCTTCACAAAGGACTGAGGGCTAAGGAGCTAAATGTGAAGGAAAAGAATATTCAGATACAACTGGCTCATAATTACACAGCTTTGCATTTGTTTAACTGTTTTCTCAGTCTAAGTTTGAGGTCATTTGTATTACACTGTCCTCATTAGATCAGAAGTAATTTAGGAAGGCGATAAGCTTCTCTATTTGATGTTTAAAACAAGTTGGATTATTTTTCCTGTAAAACTGATGGTTTGGAGTGAGAGCAATGTTACATGCTTGGATAGCTGATGTTTGTTCAGTTGCTTAATAGAGCCCATTATGTTCCTGGTGTTTTTTAAAAAACCACAAAGGCAAACTGTTCAGAGGAACTTGATCTTGTCTTTAGATGAAGCCACATCTCTGTTTTTTTCTTCAAACAAAGAATAAGGTCATTGCTTTAAAGTAAAAGAAATTACCTATTAGCACGGATGGTTTTATATCTTTAACAATGTCTTCTAGATTTCTCATTTCAGCATGTTCATGTGCAAAATGACTTTTCTCTTCTGTTAATGAGGCACGCCCCTGAGCAAAGGAAAAGAAAAAGATATTTACTACCAGCTTTCTGGAACCTAATATCCTGGGATAATCAGTTTATGAAGTATCTGGTTCAACACGTCCTATTTTCACTACTGCTTTTGCATCTGTCAACAAATACCATATCAGAACAAGTTACGTTGTATACAGTTATTACTCTTAGGATAGCTCAGGAGAAATCTATTTCTCTAAGAAGCAGAGGAATTAAATTCAATAATTTCACTTTACATTCATAAAAGCTCTAGGAACCAACTGTATTAACAATTAAACAAACACATCACAGATTTCTTTCTCAGCATTTTTAAAGTTGTCATACTTTCGCTCAAACTCTTTGTTATATAACAAACAACCCAGAAGTGCTAGGACAGGAAGCTTTTTTCAACTTTTTTCAGGTTTGTTCTTGCCTAAAAACAGAGAGAATATACAGGGGAAAGTATAAAGGAGACTATTTTACTTCATACTTCTTTTACTTCATTCATTGACTCTTAAGGATAAAAAATATTCTAACCACCTGCTCAGTGCACTGTTTCTTAATTAACAAAATTGACTTTGCTGTGACACAAACTTCAGTGTGATCTACACTGGCAATTTCCTTTGATGCCCAACAGGGTTTCCGTGGCAGATGCCAGAAAAAGGGCTATGCATTGACATACATTGACACACACTGACAGGCTCAGAGCTCAGTGTAAGGGACCTGGAATGGGGGCATGAAAGATACCACGCTTGTAAACATTACATTCACTGCCTAAATGCATGGACCTTTGTCTATACACACACAGCAGAACAGCTGAAATTGTTTAAAGATTGTATGCCTCCTCCAGTCCCACCCCACAGCCGGGTGGGCACTTTCAAACTCAAATCTCAGAGACATTGCCAGACCCTCAAACACCTTACCCTTTAAGGAGACAGAAGAGGATAGAGATATGTAGGGAAGTGCAGGAGGAAAATAGGATGTGAAATATAACTTAGCTGTATACAGATGTGTATCCTTGCCTCCATAGCCACACCTTATCCTACCAATAATACAAAAAGTTTCCTTAATCCCAGAAAGTATTGGAACAGCATTCATTCCATGATGCCACTGAAGTCTGTGAATCTGACTGTTTTAACTCAGCTTAGTAGTTCACATACTATTGGGTTCAAGTCATTTTTTAAATGACATTTTTGCTTTATTTTAACAAGAATGAACGATCTGTTAGTACACATTAGACAATGCAGTGTGGCCATGCTGGAGTTCCTCTGCTGCTCCTTGAACAGTAACCACAGGAACTGGTACACCAAATGAAAGGCAAATTTTTATGTTCAGCTGTATGTAAAGTTTCCAGATGGTACCACAGGAAGCAGGGTACATCTGTTATGTGGTCAGCTGTTCTGCCTCGGGATGCCAGCCCCTCTTGACTCATCCCTGATGACAACTAATTTCCAGATTTATACTCCTCGGGTCCTCTTTTTTAGTAACCTAAATACAGTTTTCTCATTAAAGGCTTATATCTGTGTGTGTATATACAGGTCTTAAGGGTTCTCTTGGAAATATTACCAGAGAAATACCACCACACAGGCACTTAGTTTCCTTTGTGGGTAAATGTAAACTTCTCAGCCTTCGGAGAATGCTGCAATATAGGCAATTTTTGACATATTTATGCTTCAATCACTTCCCCATCATTACGCATTTGCATCTGCCATTTTCCAGTACTCCAGCAGATGTCACCACAGTCTGTGCACACACGTCTGAGGTGTGTCCATTTCAAAACAGTGATCTCCCTTCGTATTCGCAGGGGGAAAGTATGACTTTCTTAGGCCATTAAAGAACAACTGTACATATAACCTCCTGGCCAAAAGCTTGTTGCTAGGAATAATTTAGAATGCAATAATGAGATACATTGGGATGGGCAGGTTGCTTGAAATTGAGGTGCTACAAAGAGCCTGACATCAAGGAAGGTTATTTATTTTTTTTTTGGCGGGTGCTGTGGAAAACTCTCATCCCCTTCTCCTCCTTCAATCTGTTTCTTGATGGCTTATCAGGCAGCTATTGGGGAAGCCACTTTTCAAACTGATTCTTGAATTCAGTCCCCCCAGAAGCTACCCAGTATAAAATAAATCTCCTCTAATAGCTATGATATGGGCTGGCCCACTCCTCAGCCTGCTCCAGGCACTGAGAGCATACAGGTCTGGTCATGGGAGCATGCAGATTGACGGGGAAATGAAACGCTCTGTTTTTCCACAACTAGTAATAGCTAAGAGGCCAGAGGCTGACTTCCTTATGGAGAAATACATTGGCACTCTTTTCTTTGTACAGTCTTATGTTTGGTTGGCTATTGAGGAGGAACTCCAACATTTTAAAACCAAAATCATGGAAGAACTGTCCACACACATATTGTCATAACCCCGAGGATTCCAGACCCCATTTCCTACTGACACAAATGATCATCTCATTAACTTAGCTATGAGGGGATACTCAAACAGTAAGCTAGATGTGATCCACTGCATCCCTTCACAAGCCGTTGGCCATCATTTCTACCCTATCTCAATTTCACACATTTAATTTCTACCATTCTAAAAAAAAAAAAAAAGTTGAACTTTTTTATTTGGCTTTCACTCAATTAGTTTGATCCCATTAGTCAGAGTGAATCACATCTCCAAGTAAATATTTTTCTAGTATATTAACTGAAAATGTAATACTCAATTCTGTGGCTTAGCAAAAATAGCAACAGCTATGTACATAGAGATTTTTGCTTGGAAAATGTCTGTAAGAGAAATCTAAGGTTAGAATTTTATATGTATATACTTTATATGTGTATATATTATAATAGATTTGAAGAAATATTCTTAGTTGTTAATTCAGTGATCTACACAATGCCTCCTTAAAAAATTTCTCTGAAATTTGGTTTCGAAACTCTGATGATTTAGAGAACAGTGTTTTAGATAAGAATTCACCAATCTGGGGAATATAAATTCTAAGTTCAGCAAAATTATGAAGTTTGAGAAAAGCACTGCAAGCATCCTTTAGTGCCCTGCCAGCAGGGAAGCCTTGCATGAAGGAAGAAATGTGCAGGAAGGAAGAAACAATTAATTTCTGTGTACTTGCCCTTAGACTAAGGAGATGCAAGTCTGTTTAGTAGAGGCCTACAAATGTGCCCCCCAAAGCACCTACAGAAGAAAAAGGGGAATTCATTGAGATTTTGTTGGATAGTTGATGGAAAAGAATGGAGCTAAAACTGGCCTTCCTGCCATTTTCTGTACTCTCTCACTCCTGACTCAGGAGAGATACAACTCAAACAGACCTGTCAGCATGGCAAGCAAATGTCTTCCGGAAGCTTCAAGCCTTCCTCCTGGCATAATCCTAACATTAACATGGCATGCAGCTCACTGGTACTTCCTTCAATAGGCAAAATGTTCTAACACTAAGAAAGAGTTTCAATGAGCTCCTTGGTATGATTCCAATGAGGGCCTCGGTATGAAGCCCCAATAATTTTAAGTAGAAACATCTTTGGTAACATATTTGCTTTCTGAGTCCACTGTCTTAATCATTTAGCATTAAAAATTCACTCACTCAATGAAAAGTGCTCAGAAAATCTGTGATATAAAGATGCATCCCTTTCAGCACACCAAGTCTGAATACATTCTCGTTTTACTGCAGGACTTAAGAATTGCCAAACAGAGGAGGAATTTTAGCAGGGATTCCCTTCAAAGGATGTTACTGCACTACTGTTCAAACAGAGCTTTGAAGACTCATTTGCAACAGACAGTAATAATCTTAAATTTCTTGCTATTTATGATTTATATCACCTTTCCCGCATCAGATAACACTCCCAAATACAAGCAGAAAGTCTTTCACACTGAAATCCACAGCCAAATCAACAGACCCTTCATGATAGCTGTGCAGTTATTCAAATGGGAAGACACTCTTTCTACAGAAGAAAGAAGGTAAAGTTAGAAGAGAGCTTGTATATTCTCTTTGCTTTAGCTTCTTCAATGCATTCAGCATCCCAGGAAGTTAAATAAAAATAAATACATAGAAGAAAAGGAAAGAAAGACAACTTTTCATTATGCAAGTCTTTCTGAATGGCACATATTCTCATAATATTTCATTAACTTCTATAGAATAGGTGATTTTCCTTGTGCATCATACAAAATTTGCTTGAATAAAAAGCCCCAAACTAAATACTGAAATACTAGGAAGTCAACCACAGTATCTTTAGTGCATTCTCAGCCTGCCTGGATAAACAGTACAATGCATTTTCTCCAAACTGTTGAAGGTGAAGAGAATTATTCTCGAAAGATCAATGAAATCTCAGTCCAAAGAATCAATGAAAATATCAGAAATGACTTCAGAGGAGAAAAATACTGTTCGTATCACAGTATCATTTAGTACCAAGAAACCAATGGTATATTTTGGATTTGAACAAAAGAGCACAAAGGCACCTCAAAATAGACAGGTTGCTATATTAGAAGCCACTATGGTATCTCAGATGGAAAGTAATATGAGCTAAATTCTTTATTAGCAAATGCGTTACAATGTGGACTGTGTTAATTCAGCAAAGTACAGAGATAAAGAAACAATAGCAGCATTCTCTGATGGTGATATTATGAACGAAAGATCTTGGCAAACCTAAAACATCTATACTTTCTAATGGATAAGAAAGAGTCACTGATATTACCTATCATTAACAATAGTAAAGCATGTCATTTGTACACTGGGATTTGGAATCCAAGGAGAACAGTGAAGTAGCATAACTCAATAGTTAACAGTTTTACGAAAAACTGCTTGTATTTTGGATGTGAACTGGAAGCAGTTTTCAGTTTAGATTAACATTAGATGTTAGATAGTTAGATAGCTATGTTAGATAACATTAGATGTTAGTTATCATTGTTGATAGACATCACAAGGAAAGGATATCCCCGGATCAGTCTTCATGCAAACGTACATCAGTTTCCAGAGAAAATTGTTCATATCATCATACCACAGAATCACATGGAGGGTCAGATAA